AAACAGAACTCGTCTCCTTGGTTTTCTACTGGTGGGTTTGCGGGATCTTCGTCTCTTGGGGCCATGTTTCCTTCGTCGAGGATTCCCTCGTCCTCAAGTTCAACTTGTGTGCGGCTCATGACGAACATCTTTCCGAGGGCACCGTGATTCCCTTGATTGTTTGTGCCTCCGCGTTGGCCCATGATTGTAGGGAGCGAGTTTGAGGGTTGACTGCACTGGAAGGACTTGTGTCCTTCTCCTCCGCAGTTAAAGCATTGACAGGGGTTTCCCATGCAATCTTTGCCTCTATGGTCTTTGTTGCATCTTTGGCAAGGGAAGCTCCTTGTATTAGCTTCGTGGTTTCTTAGGGGCGGCCTAACACGAAGGTCGCTTAGAGGTCTCAAGCCTAACACTTAGCTTAGCTTCTTAAGGTCACTTAGAGGTCTCAAAACACACTTAACCACTTAGAAAGTCTAGACTTAACTCTTCCTAGGCTCTAAACCTAGGCTCTGATACCAACTGTAACACCCCCCCCCCCCCCCCAAACGAGGCCCAAAAGAAAGTCCTAACACATGCAGATTAAACAACAAACTAGCACAGCGGAAGATAAAACAAAAACTGGATAAAAGGAAATCCAATTCATGGGGTGTTATGCCACGTCTACCGAACCCGGTAAACGCTAAGGCGAACAATCTGCAAGTCTATACATCTATCCCAAAACATCAATCTAACTACATTGGCGCACAGGCCACAAAAACAAGGATAAAGGTGCTAAGCTACCAAGCTCTAGACATCGCGCTCGTCTAAACATCACCTGAAAGAGCACAAAGATAAACATGGGACGATGCCCGGTCAGCGATAATGCTGGTAACCCACCAATACCGTTAAGTATCATATATAGGTAGATATAAGTCATAAAACGATTTTTGAAACGGAATACATAAGTATATAAGTCAAAAGCCAAGATCAATAGACAACACAAGACTCATCACTCTCAAAGATAACACCGGGAACACATCCCAAACCACAAAGGTTAACCACAACACAAAAGGAATAAGACTCACCCATGGCAACACATGCCCTTGTGACTACACACGTCACAAGAAAGAGAACTCACCACAACGGCTACACAAGCCCTCGTGACATCACCCATCACGAGTTGATATGCCTTCCTTATGCCCTATTCCAACCTTATGGCTACCCCCAACCTTGTACCTTCATGCCAACCATTACCTCCAGGACCCCTGTACTTCTTAGTCCAACCTTTTCCCTCCTGGGACCGTCGTCCCCCACCAACAACCCGCCTACAAGACCACCAATTCATAGTACACAAGGTACCGTATAGGGCGAAACACATGCCCGGATAACACATGTTATCCCCCAATCACGTGAACCTTTCTCGAAGGAACACATCTCCATAATCACGTCACGGCCACCACGAGGACCGCTGCAATACCTTGGTGACTAGCGTCCCATACCACTAATCGTGCAATCCAGGTAAAGCCACACACGTGTCAAGCAACGGATTACAACAAAGGTATGAAACCATACTCAATCAAGGAATGGGTCACCACCCAACGACAACAACGATGTATAACACAAGTTAACATCAACCACACGGAAGGTACGAACAACACACACGCTAGCATTAAGACAATAATCTAGCATGCTTAACAACGGAGAAACTCAAGATAGTTCCAAGGAACACACAAGACACCTCTTGGTCCAACGAAACACAATGTTGAACACTTAGCACGATTCAAGACACCAAAGTCCTACATGGATACCTACCATATAGTTCTAGACCTACGAAACATCAAGAAGACGCTCAAATAGTTCCACAAAAGAACAACGGGAAGTCAAAGGATCAAATACCGAGACAACGAATCACGGGGAACAAATCCCGAACCAAATACCACCGTGTACCCGCGGGTGGACCCACGGGTAGTGCCCCACCCGTGGTTCCGCCCGCGGTAACATCATCCCACGAGGCCTGTACCCGCGGGTAGGCCGGCGGGTGGTACCCCGCCCGCCGTTCCGCCCGCGGGAACATTCCTGTTCCACAATAAATCCCTTCGGGGATTTTCTTCTCCAAACACAAATTCAAGTACAAAACATGCCAAATCTCACCCAATACAACAAAATGACTTGAACCATGGAAGATGCCAAGCAATGGCACAAAGGAACCCTAAACACAAGCTCTAGATATGCAATATCATAAGATAAATGCATAAACCCTCACATTTCATAGCAAAGCACAAGTAGAATCCAAGAAATCACATATAGGTAAGCAAAATAGGTTTTATAGAGCATGGGTTACCTCTTATAGACCAAAAGACTTCACTTAACACCACCACAAGCTCCCCACAAGGCTTACTTCTCAAACCCACTTCAAGATCAAACCAAAATATCATAAAGATCCTACCTTTAAGAAAAAGACAACTAAGATGGAACCAAAAAGACTAGATAAACTTAGATCTTACCCTCCTAGATGCCCAAATAGGTGAAAGGTTGAATCTTGGAAGCAAAACTTGGAATCTTGACAAGGGTCTCAACTTGGCTTGGAGAATAAGCTACACTTCTTTTCTAGGGAGAAGGTAGAGCTAATTTTCTAAGAATTGTAAGGAATGAAATGAAGAAGTCTTCTAGGTTAGGTTACAATACTAACTCTCAGTGGAAAGACAAGAATACCCTTACTAAGCTTTAGAAAGTGTAAGGAACAAGGGAACTCCCCTCAAAGCACAAGGTACAACACAACTTAAAGGTTGACTAGTCAAATACTAGTCCTTGAGTATTAAAAATCAGGATTTTAGGAATCAATTCCTCAAAAGAAATAGAATTAATTACTCAATTAATTCATGGGTTGAAATGTGGATTTTTGGGGTGTCACAATGATCTTCGGGGACTGCGACCCTACACACCGCTGGCCCATACACTCGGCGGATCGCAGCCGACCATAGCCCTACACACCGCCTGATCACTCATTCGGTGGACTATGGCCTTCCTCGGGCTAGTGGCCCTACACACCGCCTGGCGCGTCCAGTCGGTGGACCATAGCACACGAGGCCCATGTGGACCGCAGCCCAAGAAGTGAATCACTAACCGCAGCCAGGAGAATGAACCGCAGTTCATGAGTAACCAATTTGACCGCAGCCAACTTCTGAACCGCAGCTCAGGAATAACCAATTTGATCGCAACCAAATTGGGGTATCATGTTCACATAACACATAGTAGCACATATTAGCACATTGGGAAGGGGGAAAGCGTATAAATAATCTTATGCGTGATCATCCACATACTAAGAATAGTCCTAAGGGGTTCATGCATCTTCCTCCTTGGCCAACGGGTTACCGATTCAACTAGCATGCAATACATAAGACTCTTTTATCCTACGAATGGTACCCGAAACATCAAACTAGACTCATGCACGACAAACGGAGTCCGTTGAGACACCATGGGGTTGGGGAACATCAAACGCGGAAGCCAAAGTCCCGAGGTGGGCAACGACCAACAGGTTGCGGGTGGGTGGAGGGCCACCCGCCGGCGATACTCCTTCGGGCAACGGGTGCCCGGCAGGTAGTCGCCTGCCCGCTGCCGGCGGCGTCTCCTTTGAGCAGCGGGTAAGTGGCGGGTCCCCCTACCCCCACCTACCCCCCACTGACTCTTTATCAAAATAAACGTCCCGCGATCCTCCGTGGAACCCGAAACCATGCTTAGACACTTTTAAACGCAATTAACGACACCACGTATACAATTAATGGATCAAAGCAAGAATCACATAGAACACATCCTAACATGACTTCTAAACATAAACAACACCCGAACATGCGAATTCCCACCCAAATATATATCAAGAACATTACAATACAAATTCCCAATTCAACCGAGGGCTCTAATCATATTTAAATCACAAAATCATATTTTATCTTTAAAATCAAGAACATCGAGATTTATCAAGAATCAACACACAATTATCAAGATCCTCTTATCATCATCAAGATTATCAAGATCATACATAAAATCATCTCATCAATTTTCAAGATCACATCACAATTATCATATCAAGACACAAGCATATAGAGGAAGCCAAAGAAGAAGATTATAGCAAGGAAAATAGGTTTTGTTGAGACATGGGTTACCTCTTAGCCTTAATTAAATCCCTTGGCTATGAAGGGTCTTTCTTTAAGATTTCTTCTTTCTTGATTTCTCCTATGGGAATTCTTGTGTGGTGAAAGTTATTGTGGTGTGGGTTCTAGGTGCCTCATATGCCCTTATTTATATATCTAAGAGTCCTTATTAGGGTCTGAATGGTATGGGCTTGCCAATTCTATTCCTTATAGGACTAAGGGGTTGGTTTTAGGGATAAGGGTCCATAGACTATGGTGGACCCCTTTTTAGCTAATTAATGGATTTTAATTCCCTTTTTAGGGTAAGTAATTAATTAATTAGTTTGGTTTAGGGGCCGTAACACGGGGTGTTACAGTAAGGGTTCTAATTGCTTTCTAATCCCATATTTATAGAGTTGGCAATCCTGATTAGAGTCTGAACAATAAAGACCTATGTTCTACTCCTAATAGGTTTATAGGCCTAGGATTCCTAATTAGAATATGACTGGTAAAAGGTCTAGTTTCTTTATTCCGGATAGGGTTAAGATTCCTGTTTACGCAAGGGTCCAAGATCCATGGTGGACGATCGACGGTGCAACTCGGAGGAAACGGTCGAGTCGAAGGACGGTTAGGGGGACGTCCGAATGGTTCAGCCATGCGGGGTGAACCAGTGTGGTGACTTCGTCAAAGCACCGACGTGCGGCAGTGGGTATTGGGTTTGCTTGACCCGCCGGTTGGTAATGAAACAAGTGTCGACGGTGGTTCGAAAAACTTGCATATGGCGGGAACTGGTCCCCTGTCCCGCCCAACCCAATGAGTATGTTAAGCTAGAACTGCCTTGGCTTGGGTAATCCACTGACAGTTCGAGAAGTTGTGGACCTTGTGTCTCGTAAGAAACCCGATTTTGTTTTTTTAATGGAAACCAAGGTGGGACGTGTACATGCCGAGCGTATTCGTGTCACCCTTGGTTTTGATGGTATGTTTTATGTGGATATTAGTGGTTTGAGTGGCGGGCTAGCTTTATTGTGGAGGAGAAATAATACGGCAAGCCTTTTGAGTTTTTCGAAGACCCATATTGACATTGAGGTTACTATTCCTGGATTCCCTAACTGGCGTATGACATGCTATTATGGCTTCCCTGAGAGGAACAGGCGTAACGAGTCTTGGGAATTATTGAGATCACTGGCGAGTAGATCTGACCTCCCCTGGGTTGTCATGGGGGATTTTAATGACTTACTCTATCAGCATGAAAAAAGAGGGGGCAATCCGCATCTGAGTAGTCTCCTTCGCGGTTTTGGGGATACTATTGAGGACTGTGTTTTGTCTCAGATGCCTATGGAAGGATATCAGTTTACATGGGAAAAAGGACAAGGAACGCCTAACTGGATTGAGGAAAAATTTGATAAGGTGCTCACACCGAATGATTGGCGTAATGTTGTGGTTGGGGCTAGGGTCACGAACCTGGCAACACGAAGATCAGATCACTCAGCCCTCTTTCTAGGAATCCATGACTCCGTAGGGAGGGGTGGAACTGGCAAGAGGGGTTTCCAATTTGAGATGGCATGGCTACATGATGAGGGGTGTAGGGGTGTTGTGGAGGAGTCATGGGAGGAAGGGAGGAGTATGGGCTTGCAAGATTGTATTCAGTACTGTGGGGACCAGTTATCACGATGGGGTGGAGATCGACATCACAAATTTGGTAACCAGATTAATACCCTGCGGAAGGAGCAGCAGCGATTGCATGGGCACACTGACCCAACCTCGCTTGCAAAATTCCAGCACCTAGAAGAGCTCATGAGTCGTCTTGAAGCTCAGGAGGATGCCTACTGGAGACAGAGAGCCAAGCAGCATTGGCTCAGGAATGCTGATGCCAATACAAAGTTTTACCACAGGTATGCCTCTCACCGTAAAAAAAAAAAAAAAAAAAAAAAAAAAAAAAAAAAAAAAAACTTTATCTAGACTCATGAATGATTGTGGGGTTTGGGTTGAAAAGGAAGCTATGAACAGCGTTATTCTGGATTATTTTAATCATATTTTCTGCTCTAGTCACCGTGAGAATGGGATAGTTTCTTTGCTGGGATTTCCCCACGAGTCACTCAGGCATATAATGAACGTTTGTTTCGCCCCTTTGAGTTGGATGAGGTTAAATCTGCGTTGTTTGCAATGTTCCCTGATAAGGCCCCATGCCTGGATGGAATGAATTCGGGCTTCTATCAACATTTTTGGGATGTAGTTGGGGGGATATCTCGAATTTTGTGATTAACTGCCTACAGTCACCCCATTTCCCTGAGGGCTTGAATGATACAGATATGGTCATGATCCCAAAAATAGGTACCCCCCAGATGGTTACTGATCTTAGGCCAATAGCTCTTAGTAATGTTGTTTATAGGGTCATGGCTAAGATGATAACGAATAGAATGAAGCCTTTGATGGAGGAAATTATATCTGACTCACAGAGTGCCTTTATCCCGGATAGGCTTATAATTGATAATATCCTTCTAGCTACAGAGGTGGGTCATTTTTTGAACAGAAAGCAGTGTGGGGTTGTAGGATGGAGTGCTCTCAAGTTAGATATGGCGAAAGCATATGACCGCATGGAGTGGTCCTTCCTGCGTGGCATGCTCTTGGCGTTGGGTTTTGATTCTAGATGGGTGGAATTGATTATGCTATGTGTAACTATAGTGTCCTACAATTTTCTGATAAATGGCTCACGCAGTATCTTAGTGCTACCCACTCGTGGCTTAAGGCAGGGAGACCCGTTGTCCCCTTATCTCTTCATTATATGTGCAGAGGGTCTTTCTCTGTTATTGCAGCAAGCACAAAATGATGGTTCTATACATGGTTGCAGGGTGGCAAGGAGAGCCCCCCCCCCCTCCCCCCCCCCCCCCCCTCTTAATCTCTCACTTATTTTTTGCAGATGATAGTCTATTATTTTTTAAGGCCAATGCACAAGGGGCTGGTAAAATTAAAGATTGTTTATCTGTATATGAAAATTTGTCTGGCCAGGTGGTTAACTATCATAATTCAAGTATATGCTACAGCAAGAATACAGGTGAGATGGATAGAATGGAGGTGGCTCAAATTCTGGGGGTGGTACAGGCACCTAACTTTGGAAAATATTTGGGACTTCCATCATTTGTTGGACGAAATAAAAAGGCGCCTTTCTCATATATTGAAGATAAGATCAGGCAGAGAATAGGATCATGGAGTAAAAAATTATTATCACAGGCAGGCAAAGAGATTTTGTTGAAAAGTGTAGCACAATCTATGCCTACATTTTCAACGAGTGTCTTTCTGTTACCTATATTCGTTTGCACAGCTTTTGAGCGAATCATGAACTGCTACTGGTGGGGATCGGGTACTGACCATGGAATACACTGGAAGGTTTGGGACAAATTATGTATCCTAAAGAAACATGGGGGCCTAGGTTTCAAGGAACTCTGTGCCTTTAACCTAGCTATGTTAGGTAAACAGGGATGGCGAATGCTTACTAAGCCTGACTCGTTGGTAGCCTGTGTTTGTAAAGCAAGGTATTATCCCAAGGGTTCATTTTTTGATGCACAGGTAGGAAATAACCCCTGTTTCTGTTGGCGTAGTATTATGGCAGCTAAAGGGTTAATCTGTAGTGGTGTGAGACGCAGAATTGGAAATGGAGAAACTACGCTAATATGGGATCATCCGTGGATACAGGATGACCAGGAACCTAGATACAGACTGAGATGCCTATGCAGTTGGCAGGAGCCAAAGTTGTAGGATTAATTGATCAAGAAGTAGGTTCGTGGGATCATTCTATATTGACTGATTTATTCCAACCTATCGATGTCACAAATATTATGAAAATACCTATCTCCCCTGACTATGATGATACTTGGTATTGGCACGGAGACCAGAAAGGAATATATTCGGTCAAAAATGGCTATAGGCGTATTGTGGTAAATTATGAGGACAATGATGGGGCTTTCAATAAATGGCTTGCTCTATGAAAGCTCAAAATCCCCCAAGTGGAAGACATTCCTATGGAGAGCTATTAGTGATATTCTCCCCACCACTACAAATTTGCTTATAAAGAGAGTAGATGTGGAGCCAAATTGTGCCATGTGTGGAATATATCAAGAAAACACTATGCATGCTTTGGTGTTGTGTGACTATGCAAAGGCCATTTGGGGATTATCCAACCTTCCAATCCCCAATAATGTGACAAATATTTTTCATGTTTGGTTTGGTGATCTTCTAAATGTTCTAGACTCTAATAGAATATTATATGCAACAGCAATTCTATGCCACATATGAAGAACACGGAATGGAGTGGTGTGGGATGCCTGCCTTCCAAGGCCAAAGGGACTGATTGCGGCAGCCACCGCAACCATGCAAGCGTGGCAGCGAACCCTCCACACCACCGTCACAAGGACGCCTGCCAACCACCCTGCCGCCATGGCCGATGTACCGGCTGCATTACATGGGCAGTCCGCCACCACGGCTGTGACACCCCAAAAATCCACACTCCAATCCATGAATTAATTGAGTAATTAATTCTATTTCTCTTGAGGAATTGATTCCTAAAATCCTGATTTTTGATACTCAAGGACTAGTATTTGACTAGTCAATCTTTAAGTTGTGTTGTACCTTGTGCTTTGAGAGGAGTTCCCTTGTTCCTTACACTTTCTAAGAGTTAGTAAGGGTATCCTTGTCTTTTCACCAAGAGTTAGTTTTGTAACCTAAACCTAGAAGACTTCTTCATTTTCATCCCTTACAATTCCTAGAAAATATCTCTACCTTCTCTCTAGAAAAGAAGAGTAGCTTGTTCTTCAAGCCAAGTGAGACCTTTGTCAAGATTCCAAGTTTTGCTTCCAAGATTCAATCTTTCATCTATTTGGGCATCTAGAAGGGTAAGATCTAAGCTTGTCTAGTCTTTTTGGTTCCATCTTAGTTGTCTTTTCTTAAAGGTAGGATCTTTATGATCTTTTGGTTTGATCTTGAAGTGGGTTTGGCCAGTGAGCTTAGTGGAGAGCTTGTTGTGGTGTAAGAGGAGTCTTTTGGTCTTCAAGAGGTAACCCATGCTCTACAAAACCTATTTTGCTTACCTATATATGATTTCTTAGCTTCTATTTGTGTTTTGCTATGAAATGTGAGAGTTTATGCATTTATCTTGTGATATTGCATATCTAGAGCTTGTGTTTAGGATTCCTTTGTGTCATTGCTTGGCATTTTCCATGGTTCAAGTCATTTTGTTATGTTTGGTGAGATTTGGCATGTTTTGGACTTGAAGTTGTGTTTGGAGAAGAAAATCCCCGAAGGGATTTGTTGTGGTACAGGGATGCACCCGCGGGCGGAACGGCGGGCGGGGCACCACCCGCCGGCCTACCCGCGGGGACATGTTGCCTTGTGGGTAGTGTACCCGCGGGCGGGACCACGGGTGGGGCACTACCCGTGGGTCCACCCGCGGGGTACACGGTGGTGTTTGGTTCGGGATTTGTTCCCCGTGATTTGTTTGTCTCGGTGTTTGATCTTTTGGCTTCCCGTTGTTCTTTTGTGGAACTATTTGAGCATCTTCTTGATGTTTCGTAGGTCTAGAGCTTCATGGGAGGTATCCATGTAGGATCTTTGGTGTCTTGAATCGTGCTAAGTGTTCAACATTGTGTTTCGTTGAACCAAGAGGTGTCTTGTGTGTTCCTCAGAACTATCTTGAGTTTCCCCGTTGATAAGCATGCTAGTTTGTTGTCTTAATGCTAGCGTGTGTGTTGTTCGTACCTTCCGTTTGGTTGATGATAACTTGTGTTATTCATCGTTGTAGTTGTTGGGTGGTGACCCGTTCCTTGATTGAGTAAGTTTCATACCTTCTTTGCAATCTATTGCTTGACTTTCGTGTGAGTGGTGGTGCGTGTGTGGCTCTACCTGGATTGCACAATTAGTGGTATGGGACACTAGTCACCAAGGTATTGCAGCGGTCCTCGTGGTGGCCGTGACGTGATTATGGAGCTGTGGCTGAGTCCACGTGATTGGGGGATAACATTGTGTTATCCGGTCATGTGTTGTCGTGATTGGTGGGTTTTCGTTGGTGTTTATAGGTGGGGGATGACGGTCCCGGCGGAATAAGGTTGGACTTGGCTGTACAGGGGTTTTCTGGAGGTAATGGTTGGCTTTGAAGGTACAAGGTTGGGGGTAGCCATAAGGTTGGAACAGGGCATAAGGAAGGCATATCAACTCGTGATGGGTGATGTCACGAGGGCTTGTGTAGCCGTTATTGTGTGATCTTCTCTCATGACGTGTGTAGTCACGGAGGCTTGTGGTGTTTTGGCATGTGTTGCCGTTGGGTGAGTCTTTATCCTTGTGTGTGGTTAACCTTTGTGGTTGGGATGTGTTCCCGGTGTTATCCTTGTGAGTGGTGAGTCTTGTGATGTCTTTTGATCTTGGCTTTTGACTTATATATATGTATTCCGTTTCGAAAATGGTTTTTATATCTTATATCTACCTATTTATGATACTTAACGGTATTGGTGGGTTACCAGCATCTTTCGCTGACCGGGCGTCGCCCCGATGTTTATTTATGTGTTCTTTCAGGTGTCAAGTAGTCGAGCGCGATGTCTAGAGCCGGTAGCTTAGCACCTTTATCTTTAGACTGTGTTTTTGTGGCCTGCGCGCCAATGTTTTTAGATTGTTTTTAGACTGATGTTTTGGGATAGTGTGTTACAGTTGTAGATTGTCGCCTTAGCGTTACCTAGTGTGGTATACGTGGCATAACACCCCTGTTTTGGATTTCTTTTATCCAGTTTCCGTTTATCTTCCGTTGTGCTAGTTTTGTTGTTAATCTGCATGTGTTAAGACTTGTTTTTAGGTCTTGTTATTTTGGGGGGGTGTTACAGTTGGTATCAAAGCCTATGTTTTGAGCCTTGGTTTAGAGCCTTGGAAGAGTTGAGTCTAGACTTTCTAAGTGTTTAAGTGTGTTTTGAGACCTCTAAGCGACCTTAGGAAGCTAAGTGTTAGGCTTAGGACTTTAGGTTGCGCGGTGAGATGTGCGTTGCTTTTTGTCTTGTTTGCTTGCTTGTTCTTTTGGTAACCTTGTTGTTGTAGCAGAAGTGCGATACCTCCTCGTCCTCGCGCTCGCTCCCCAGAGACCCCGACCAACGAGCAGCTCGCCCAGAATCTCCATCAGTTGACGCAGACGATGCAGTCTCTCAGTGAAGCTTTGTTGAACAACAATCAAGCTGCGCCGCCTCCGCCTCCGGTTGGGCACCGCGATGTGGGTCGTTTAGTGTCCGGGCATCGGCCGCCTTCCTTTGCTGGTGAAGAAGTGTGATACCCCGATTGTTTGAGTATTATAATTTGTTATAAATAAACTATTTAAAAAAAATTACTACTATTATGTTATGGTTATTAATATTCCTAAACCCATAATACTTATATGATAATAATAAATTAATTTTTAAATCCTAAAACTAATATGTTTATATTATATTAAATAAATTTAACTTAAGTTATAGTATGTATATGTGATTCTCCAGTACGTTAGATATATATATATATATATATATATATATATATATATATATATATATATATATATATATATATATATATATATATATATATATGTTAGTTTATTAGATTAATGTTAGTTTATTAGATTAAGTTTGAGATATATATGTCTAGTCAGGATGTAATTCTATGATATTAGTTTCCTAAGCCTTTTTAAACTCACTCTATAATTCTATGATATTAGTTACCTAAACCTTTTTAAATTCACTCTCTAATTCTTAACACACGCTGCTGCTGGAATCAAAAGAAATACAAAAACAAACCCTAGCATATACGACACCTTCCCCTCCTAAATCATCATCTTCGCAGTCGACACTCTCATTCTTTTCATTCCCAGTTTCGGCTTCGACACAAGAGAACTCCTGGGTGTCAATTTTTCTTCCATCTAGTGTCATCTATTTGTAAGTTTAATTATATGTTTGTGGTAAAATTTCTATGATTATATGCTTATGTGATTTCCTGTGTTTATATGGACATTCAATTTGGTTTAGAAGGAGAGTTTGCAGAGGAGCAAACGTAGGACTCGGGTCAAGTGTGTGATTTGTTTTACGTATCCAGGTAAGTGCTTATGTCTATCAAAAATTACTTTTACTCTGTAAAAATATATATATACTTTGTGATTTTGTGGGCATATGTGATATGGTATTTTGTGGTGATTAAAAAGGACAACTTTTACACAATTTGATCATTGCCTGAGAAAATTCTGACTGGCGCAGCTGGAAAGAAAAATTCGTGAAAATTGTTTCCTAAATTTGTTTTTGCTTGAATTTTTTTATGGAGAATCTAGACTTGTTATATTTGATGTTTATAAATAGTTTTGGTTAAAAATATGTTTCGGTTTTTCCAGAATAATTTCGTAAAGTTTAGGCAGTGTTCTGCCAGTTAAATTACAGTCTGGTGCTGTGTTGAGAAGAATTTTGGTAAAAATACTTCTAGGCCTTAGATTGGCTTGAAACTTTTTGTGTGTATTCTAGACTCTTTATACTACTTATATGGAAAATTTCATATGAAAATGTGTTACCGATTTTTCTCAGTAAATTCTGCAATTCAGGTCATAGTTTCTGAAAATTTTTGACAGTTTCTTATTTGAGATATTGAGAAGTTGCTTGCTTGTGAAATATCATTACTCTTGTTTTTTATAAATGTGGTGAATAAAAAGGTTTTTTTTTTTGACTCATATAGTATCCAACTATGATTCTGGATTTACCCAATTTGTTGAG